TCTTCTCGATTGCAACTCCAACGACTACTCTACCATTATGCCCCTCAAAAGCTGCACCGCGTAGAGCCTCTTCTTTTGGATCATGCAGGGCGTGAAGGGAGGCTGGTGCGTTCGTTGCTGGAAAAATACGGACCGGATGTATATTCTTCGCCGATGGAAATACGTCTTATTGGTATTCGTCACTTGACACCAGCGAATTCCTGTTACGTGAAGGTGTACCTGAATGGCGAGCCTGTGCTGCGATCGTCGCAGCAATCGGGCTCAGCAAACATTGCATTTTCCCCATCCGATGTCAAAAATGCCGCTGTCGTGATGCTCGACGATCCCCATCACGCGAGGGTGCGATTTAAGGTGGCGCAGCAGCGCTACCTTCAATCCACTACCATTTCTTTTGCCGAGCTTCGACTGGGGAAAATGGTTGCTGGGTCATTGAACGAGTGCTGGATTCCACTGTTTGATAGTCACAGTGGGGAAATTGGACGTCTTGGTGTGACGCTGAGGTGTAATGGGTTTATTTGTCGTAAGAAAGAACCCGCGAAATGCGAGGAGGCGGAGAGGGATGTAGTATCTCTGCTACGCAAATACAAGCCGGAGGCACTTCCATTTCTGCAGCCTCTGATAACAGAAGCGGGCAGCGCGGCGAAAGCGCATGCGGAGATACGTCGTCGTGTCGCCAAAAGGCCAGTAGCTGCCACCGTGTACGTGTGTGTGGAATCTCTCTCCATTATGGAGCTTGACTTCTCACATCCCTCGCAACTTCATGGAATCTCGCCGACACGACTGGCATTGCTTCAACAGGAGAATGAGGGGATGGAATACGCAGTGACGGCCAGCTGTGACCATGAGGAAGGAAGTGTCATTTGGTCTGAACAAGTAAAAGGTTCCGGTGCGGTTATTCGACTGGATATCCCGGAATTTAGCAGATGTGAGGACCACCGCCTCACCATCGCTGTAAGGCAGGCTCAAGGTGCATGTTTTTTGTCGCGCTCTGGGAGCAGGCAGCGTTCAAGTTCTCGTGGTGGTCGTAGCAGCTTCTCTCAAAGAAAGGCGTCGCAGCAGCTTTTGCCACCGACTGAGCTTGGTCGTGTGGTGGTCTCTCTGAGGGGACTTCTCACTGGCAGTTTATACGACGCTGCGGAGCGTGTGACACTTCCGCTGGTGTCGTTTACTCAGGGCCCTGCCGCTAGGAGGAAATTGCAACAGGAACGGATTCAACAACGACGGCAACCGAGTTCATCATCGTCTGCTTTTCTGCCTCCTTGTAATGTGGTGGGTAACATTACTTTTAGCGTCCGTCTCCCCGCGTTTGAGCGAGCTCCATCATGGCTGCAGTTGAATTTGTTTGAGATAGAGAAACATTTGGCAATAGATCGCGCATGCATTCGTTACTATGAGGAACGAATACGCGACATATTAGCAAAGCATGAGCCGCAGGGTTTGCTTGATCTGCACTACACCCTCTATGAATGCGATGTGGCGCATGGAACGTGGAGTCTTTCACTGTGCGATCGGGTACGTGCGTTACTTCAGCGTCTTGGCGTCGTTGAAGAGGCAGCGACGACTGTACCCATCGACCGAAGCATGTAAAGAGAGGAAATGAAATAATATTTGTTCTTTGCACGATTCTTTGAAATTTATCTGCCTTTTCTTTTCTTTCTGTTTTTTTTAAGCCTTTTTATTATTCTCTTATGTTTGTTTTCCGGAATATTCATTTTCTTTCTTCTTTTTTTTTTACTCGTGGATGCATGTATATTCCCGGTTAAATACAAAGGGACCCTGCTTTCAGCCCTACTCGTTGTGTGTGTGTGTGTGTGTGCGGGTTTCTTGGGGGAAAAGTTTTATTCGGTTTTTCCTTTTGGACGATGTCGTGCCTCAATTTTTTTTTTTTTTTTCTTTTCAGGAGTCTTTTTTCAATAGACGGCAGAGAAAACCCCTTCCCTTGAGGAAACACTGAAGAAGAGAAGAAAAGAAAAGGTGGGGAGCACAACACGGACGACTGTGGGGAGGAGAGCTGGTGGTAAAAGGAAGAAAATGATGCGCCGTTTTTTTCGTTCAACAGCTTTGAATGCGCCGTTTCGTGTTTGGTGGCCAATGGGCCGGTGGGCAGTGCGGGGAGCGTCCACGTCTTCCAGCGCCGTGAAGGAAACAGCGAAGATGCCTGGCTTTGAGTTTTCTACTCCGAACTTCTCCCTGGACGGCGGGATGGACGTGGATGCGGAAAACCTCGTGAAGGATTTGGTGACAAGCCCCGTGACAGAACTAAATTTTGTGCGGGACATGTACGGTCCGTGGCTGGTGCTGACGGAGGAGCTGCAGGGAGAGCTGTTCATTGACCACGACCGCATGGTGTACCTGCGGCCAGCGAATGGCCTTGGCTTTGGCGTTGGCCGCATCGATGTGGCGGACTCTTCCCTCACCGGTATTGCGTTTTCCCTACAGCTGGAGGCTTACACGTACCCTGTGACGAGCACCATGCCTCCCTGCGAACCCATCGCGCTCGATGTGACCGGCCTCTTGAAGCGTGTGGAGTCCGCTTCCGGGGACTACGCCACTTTCTCGCTCGTCGCGACGTGGCGTAAGAAGGACGGTACAAGCG